GGGGGGGGGGGGGGGGGGGGGGGGGGGGGGGGGGGGGGGGGGGGGGGGGGGGGGGGGGGGGGGGGGGTGAATCAGAAGGGCAACCACAAGGGTAACCGAACAAAGCGTTCCAATGACGTATGCTACTGCGGATAACACGGGCGGCAGCACATACCCCAGATATTTAGCGCCAGTCTGTTGGGGTCACTGTTCTGGTACTTGGTACGCACAACGTGTTGGCCAGAATGAACGAACGGAACGCCGGTACCGCCGTCGCCATCTCAAAAAACAAAAAAACTCACTGCGCGAGAACCTCGACCACCCCCTCCTCAGGAACCGCGTTGATGATCACCGGGTAGCTGAACAGGGGGGGGCTGAAGACGTTCGGGTCGGTCTGGAAGCCGGGCTGCGTGATAGACACCTTCTCACCGCCCAGGGCTAGACGGGGGAGTGGTCGAAAACAAGAACCGAACGAGGGGCAGCAGGTGCAAAAATGACAAGAGGTTAGACTACACATACATCGTGCTTACAAGCAGCAGTTCTAGAGGACAACGGGAGATCGAGGGGAAGGCTTTAGCGGGGGGTGGGGGAGAGAGGAGCACGAGGCAAGGACAAGCAAGTTTGGATGACAACTGCCAACCATGAGGAGACAAAAACGAAGACCGAGGCTTGCGGCAAAAGGCGTTTCGGGTGAGAGCTGGAAGTGCGGGGATGAGACTTCTTCGCCGTACAGTAGCAAGCGTTGAACAAATGGTGGAAAGCAAAGCGTGGCTTCGCTGCTTACGCTGTGCTTAGGAACGAGGATTGGTCAAGGGGTGAAACTCACTGGTGAGCTGCACGTACGCAGGGGTCACGATGTCCCCGGCGAAGTAGGTCTGGATCCCGAGCTTCGCCGTAAACTCGTCGGTGGTGTGGGTGAGAGCGGAAGGGAAGTACACGAGACGGACCTGCACGAAGAAACAAGAAGGAGAACCGACACAGAAATTTAGAGAAAGATCGCACGCAATGGCAACGACATTTATGATTGAAAAAGACACTTTTATCCCCCCACACAAAATGTTTTACTGTAGCATCTCGCAAGTCAAGTTGACGTTCGAATTTCTGGATCAAAGCCAAGAAAGCACGCAACACAGAAAAAAACAACGCACACCCGTACAAAACAAGATCAGATCAACAGACGTCCCCCTCAACACTGCTCTTGGTGAATTCTTGTGTGGAATCCCACAGCGCACACGGAGCCCGTATACCATATAACTCGAGTGCTACTGTTAAGCGTAGATAGACAAAACGAGTGATTGACGCAGAAATTAAAACCGATGGCATTTTCAATGAACGTGCGATGCCGAGGTTTACACATAAACATGCACACATCGACATATATAGACCATGCCACAGAGAGCTACGACCTCGAAGACTTAATAAACTCGCGTGCTCTGTTGCTAATACCTTGTACTGCGCCGAGTAGGCCGTGAGAGCGGCAACCTGAGCCGTCGACGGCGCATAGCCGATGTACACGGCGTTGCACTTTCCGTGGGGCGTGGCGTCGGTCGAGTCCACCAGAATGGCCGTTAGGTCGTCGGTTTCAGTCACGACAAACTCCTCCTGAAGTGACAGCAGCGGTTACAAAGGCATTTGATGCACGGCGTGGGTTGGGAGTGCGGTAGAATTGGAGTGAATCATGGGTGGGGTGGGGGTAGAATTGGATGGGCGCAACTTTTGACTGGTGAAACGAGCGGAGGGCTAAAGTGCGACTTCGGGCGATATACCTTGGGTGATAGGCACTATTTCCTGGTTGTTGAACGCCGCCGGAATTGCTCACACGAACGAGCGGCACGCAACCCGTTTCTTGTACGTGATAACCAACCCTCATGCCCGACGGGGGCAACCCGCTAGAAGTGCACTCGGCGGACATTGAATCAAATACCTCAAGCGTAGGGGTCGGCGGCTCACTGACTGAGCCAGGTCGTTCGCCTGCCCTATTGCGGGTATACCCCCCCTTTGGAGGAACAGCATCCGCACAGCAGCTTCGCTTCGAGACACAACTAAGGAAGCACCCATTCGTCGACTCTTTTGTTCGGCAAGTCTCGAAACGTGAAGTACCAAGGAGGGATAAGAACTCACCGTCTTGGGAGACCAGTATCCCTTGAAGAACAGGGACATGACGTACAGTCCCGGGTTAGTCGATTCTCCAATCTGAGTAACAAAAAACAACCGGAAACGAACTGGTTAGCGGTAAGTGTGGTGTAGGGGATACATTTGGTGGAAAGTTGAGCATTCGGTCCAAAGTGTAACGGCAGCGGCAAGGGGAAACCGGGAGAGGGTGTTGGCAGGGAAAACGCAAACAACAAAAAAAAAAAAAACGGGTCAAGCGCGCAGACGCAAATGCTTCTTGTCTTGTCTTCTCATCTCAGTTCACCACCCCCGTCACTCGCTTGGGCTTCCTCCAGCCCCAGAGTGTTTGTGACTACCGTTGCCACACATGTTGAAAGAACACCTGCACAATTCGAAAGACATCGTGTAGTGATGCAGGAGAATCCGCACACAACACTGTGGAAGAGTTGCTATATGGCATATAGATACTACATGCAGGCTGATCTAATGCATACGCACCGCAACGGTAGAGAACAGGCAGGGCACCAAGTCGACGAGCACGTCTCCGGTGACAGTCACAGGAGGGGCCGTGCTAGGCGGCAGGGTGGTGGGGGGAGCCGTGGCAGGCGGGGCGGTGGCAGGGGGGGCGGTGGCAGGGGGGGCGGTAGCAGGCGG